TAACATCACATCACTGATACTTGTACACCCTTAACATCACATCACTGATACTTGTACACCTCTTAACATCACATCACTGATACTTGTACACTCTTAACATCACATCACTGATACTTGTACATCCTTAACATCACATCACTGATACTTGTACATCCCTTAACATCACATCACTGATACTTGTACATTCTTAACATCATATCACTGATACTTGTACACCCTTAACATCATATCACTGATACTTGTACACCCTTAACATCACCTCACTGATACTTGTACACCCTTAACATCACATCACTGATGCTTGTACACCCTTAACATCACATCACTGATACTTGTACAGCCTTAACATCAAATCACTGATACTTGTACACCCTTAACATCACATCACTGATACTTGTACACCCTTAACATCACATCACTGATACTTGTACATCCTTAACATCACATCACTGATACTTGTACACCCTTAACATCACATCACTGATACTTGTACATCCTTAACATCACATCACTGATACTTGTACACCCTTAACATCACATCACTGATAATTGTACACTCTTAACATCACATCACTGATACTTGTACACCTTTAACAGCATATCACTGATACTTGTACACCCTTAACATTATATCACTAATACATGCGGACCCATCACATCACTAATACTTGTACATCCTTAACATCATGTCACTGATACTTGTACACTCTTAACATCATGTCACTGGTACTTGTACATCCTTAACATCATATCACTAATAAAAAATATGCACACCCTTAACATCACATCACTGATACTTGTACACCCTTAACATCCCATCACTGACACTTGTACATCCTTAACATCACATCACTGATACTTGTACATCCTTAACATCACATCACTGATACTTGTACACCCTTAACATCACAACACTGATGGGGCGGTGGGGTAGCCTAGTGGCTAAACCGTTGGCTCGTCACGCCGAAGACCCGGGTTCGAATCCCCACATGTGTACAATGAGTGAAGCCCATTTCTGGTGTCCCCCGCAGTGATATTGCTGGAATATTGCTAAAAGCGGCGTAAAACCAAACTCGGTCAGTCACATCATTGATACTTGTACACCCTTAACATCACTTCACTGATACTTGTACACCCTTAACATCACATCACTGATACTTGTACCCCCTTAACATCATATCACTAATACATGCACACCCTTAACATCACATCACTGATACTTGTACATCGTTAACATCACATCACTGATACGTGTACACCTTAACATCACATCACTGATACTTGTACACCCTTAACATCACTTCACTGATACTTGTACACCCTTAGCATCACATCACTGATACTTGTACCCCTTAACATCATATCACTAATACATGCACACCCTTAACATCACATCACTGATACTTGTACATCCTTAACATCACATCACTGATACTTGTACACCTTAACATCACATCACTGATACTTGTACACTCTTAACATCACATCACTGATACTTGTACACCCTTAACATCACCTCACTGATACTTGTACATTCTTAACATCACATCACTGATAACTATACACTCTTAACATCATATCACTGATACTTGTACACCCTTAACATTATATCACTAATACATGCAGACCCATCACATCATATCACTGATACTTGTACACCCTTAACATTATATCACTAATACATACACACCCTTAACATCACATCACTGATACTTGTACATCCTTAACATCACATCACTGATACTTGTATACTCTTAACATCACACCACTGATACTTGTACACTCTTAACATCATGTCACTGGTACTTGTACATCCTTAACAGCATATCACTAATAAAAAATATGCACACCCTTAACATCACATCACTGATACTTGTACACCCTTAACATCACATCATTGATGGGGCGCTTGGGTAGCCTAGTGGTTAAAGCGTTGGCTCGTCACGCCGAAGACCTGGGTTCGAATCCCCACATGGGTACAATGTGTGAAGCCCATTTCTGGTATCCCCCGCCGTGATGCTGCTGGAATTTTGCTAAAAGCGGCGTAAAACCAAACTCAGTCAGTCACATCACTGATACTTGTACACCCTTAACATCCCATCACTGACACTTGTACATCCTTAACATCACATCACTGATACTTGTACATCCTTAACATCATGTCACTGATACTTGTACACCCTTCTTGTACATCATAAACATCACATCACTGATACTTTATATCCTTAACATCGTATCACTGATACACATGTGATGGCCAATGTGTGGAGAGGTAAACGGTCAACTCTTTCTTAGTACACAGCAGTGTAAGGTCGAGACTTTTCCTGGGAACGTTCTGTGTTAACAGGTTGCAATCCCTAAATGGTGTGTTACTCTAAAGAGCATATGGGTACACTCTATATTGGGTATCAAACGAGGAATCCTTTAATGGCGACGTCATCCGGGTAAATCGACGGACAGAAGAAAACCAAATATCTATGTTTGATCGTGACTAAGATTTCAACAAACAACAAAATAATTATCAATGGTGCTGTATATGGATCATAGGCGACATCCCTATGCAGCATATCAATGTATGGTCACAGCAACGATCGGTCGAAAAACGTGTTCATATGTTAGGGGTAGAATACAATTTTCATTTTTATACTTTCCTCTGCTAGGTAGTTTACGTAGTTGGGCACTGAACCGATAAAAACATGGTTACCTTGAGTCAGGCAGATGTGACACAGCGTCAGAAGGAGGGAGCACTGGATCCACCCCTGCTTCATCCTGGACGGTATCCCCGTGTGTCCCCCATACACCAGTATAACGGTGTCTCAGACAGACAAGGAAGTAGAATATGTCCCTGCCTTACTCCACAGTGTACAAATAAAGCTAGCCCCCTTCGCCCGCTATGTGTGGGTAGACGGGTAGAGCGACTGAAGCATTACCCACTTACTAGTTAAACATGTCCTAGTTGGGCGGCGCACAGATTGGATTTCAGGTAAGTAAGTATGTGGTGCAGTCACCCATGGCTGTGTAGAGAGGACTCGTAGACTGCTGAGAGAAACGTCTCAGTAACAAGAAGGGGATGGGGATGGGTTGTTTTTTGTCAAGGTGTTGTATGAAGACCCTTTTGTTGAAACCAGTGAGTAAACTTAGAATCAGAACCAGATACTAACGGATTAACAAACTAACAACAACGGGCATGGTTGACAACTCTGCACTACACACTTTCAAAGATAAACGGTTGCTAATCCTGAAAATTCCGATGTACAGTACACCCTTGATAGTTTGCATGTTGTAAGTTTATGTACAGTTTTTCCAGAAATTATTGAGAAAGTCATTGGGTCCTAATATTGATAATAGAATGTTAAAATATTTGTTACATTACGTAATAAGGTACTCAATATGGGAGGCAACTCTTGTTGTCTTAAGAATGAACCTTACTACATCAAGAGTTATCTCCTTTGCTGTAGCTGATGGCTTGCTTTGTTGACATGGCATAGATGATTTTGAAAGGGGTGTGACTCATGCAAAAGAGTTAACTGGTAGACATGAAATTCCTCTGTCTACATTATACAGAATTTTGAAGAATATTCAGTCAGGAGTTGGGATTGAGCACAAGACAAGAGCAGGGAGGCCAAGGAAGTTCAGTACTTGGTCAAATTGAAATGCGTTGAGAATATCAGAAATGAGATGATTTATAGAGGACGTCCTCAGGTATGTAATGAAATCCTTAGACGAGAATTACAAAGACTTAACTGGGTGGAGAAGGGCGGAATTCTCTCACCACTGATGAAAGATGCACAAAAAGAAAGAAACTTAGTCTTGTAGTGTAGGTGTAGGACTCACGAAAATCAAGATTGGGATAATGTTTTCTTTGCTCATGAAAGTTCTTTCTGGCTTTTTCCGAACTGTGTGAAAATTTTGAAAAAAGACCCCGTGAAACCTTTGTACCAACGCCCAAAAGATAGCCCGAACTTTTACATGTGGTGTTGGATATCATCACGTGGGGTGACGCCCGTTGTGTATTTTCACTGGAATTGTTTTACGAAAGAACGATATGTTGAAGTCTTCAATGATCACCTCCTTCCAACGGCCCGAACACTGTAATGAAGATAATTATATTTTCCAGCACGATAACGACACAAAACACACTGCGGGCTACACTGAACAGAAACTGTTCAAGTTTAGACTGACTGACTGACTGACTGACTGAGTATGGTTTAACGCCGCTGTTAGCAATATTCCAGCAATATCACGGCGGGTGACACCAGAAATGGGCTTCACATATTGTACCCATGTGACGAATCGAACCAGGGCCTTCAGCGTGACGAGCGAACGCTTTAACCACTAACCTACCCTACCGCCCCACATGAAGAAAGAAGTGGTCGAATATTGCGATACGCTGTCACACGATTTCATCGGTAGTGTACCTAGGCGCATTCAGTCGTGTATTGCAGGGCAAGGAGGTCTGAAAAGACACGTACAAATGCACTGTTCAAAAAGACACTAGAATCATATGTCAACATATTCATTTAAGTAAAACTTCTATAGTTTATATACATGTATTAGATATTTGCCGAAACAACTTTCTCAGTAATTTCAGGGAATACTATACAATATTCTACGTATATAAGGCTCTATATGAACCAAACATGCAATATGTGGACCTCGCAGTGACTAGGTACTGTGTAAGGATGATAATGGGCCAAGTTGCCAACCTCGTTGTCGTCATGTATCTGAGAGGGTTAACCGTTACAGCCAGCCAGGCAGACATCATTAAGTGGTAGTGTGACCATGAGGGAATCTTGCACGTGGAGTCCAAGAGGTGAAGAAACTTTCAAATGCCACACTGAAGGAAATGGTGATACGAAATCTATGATTTGATTATGGAGCCTTAGTCACATAGTTAATACAGTAGGCATCTATCATGAGAAACTTGAATGAATGACCAATTTTCATTTTGGGTTAATCATTTCAGGATTTACGTCGCTTATTAGCAGACCTAGCTGACGTTATTAAATGATTTGAATCATGAATGAGTCTTTCGTTCCTAACAATCAGCCAGAGACAAAAGTGAAAGCAGTGAAGACTTCAAACGTTTAAAGTTTGTTGCGTCATTTGACAAGTTGATTGCTTCGGATGTCTGAGAAGCATTTAGCGTAGTATGCAACTCTGCGTGAGAATACATAGTTCTAAAGTCAAAACACATCTAAACAAACGTTGTGGAAAAGTGATGACGTCATGTCTTCTGTGTCCACTACGGTAGCCTTCTACACCAGGAACTCAGGAACCGTAGGACACGTCTGTGGAGAATTATCAGAATACGTTCAGAACTTGTCCCCCTCCTAACTTGGTATAACCCTGTTTGTATAGGGTCTCAACTGGAGACAAAGCACTATATTGTCTTGTGAGAAAGTGGCGTCAACTTGCGACGGGTGCCTCAGATCAATACTCTCCCACATGAGCACACGGAGGTGGACTGACAGACAGCATCTCGTGAACTCTCCACTACACTGCTAGCACAATAACAATGAGGGTAAGTTTTAAGTTAGTAGAGCAGGACACTGCTCAGATAGTAAATGTTTAATATGGTAACGAAAGCAGAAATAAGAGTAGAAAACGCCATTCCTCTTTTTTGCAAATTTTCACCCATATACATTCTGTGTGCTCTGTAAATGTGAGGGGATTATTTTTTTCGTTTTTATACACTGTTTGACATCATGTTAGGAATTGTCTGCTAATATCGGAGTCAACTGTAGTGTGACACGGTGTGAGTTATGGATCACTATCAAACATGGATGACAGCAGGTATGAGGGTAAGTACGCGTGCACTGTCGCACAGGTGGCATCAGTCATAAACACATGCAAGGGCAGGTCAACACTGCAGCACAGGCTGCAATTTATTACTCTAAGCAAATCAGTCAAACTAATACCCTGCCCGTTGGGATGCCTCCTTGTCGAAGTGCCCCATCTGTCACCTGGATGACATCATGGAGGTAGTCCAACTTTGGCCATATTGTTTTCTCAGACATTTACCATACAATAGCTTTCATTCGTTTAACATAACTGAACATCAAGTGACCCCTTGGAACTGTTTCTTATTTGCCATTCTACGCCAAACGGAACGTTTCGAAGGAGGTTGTTCCTGGCTTTGACGTTTTGCAGCATTATGCGTTTGTTAGGTGTTGTTTGTTTGCTGTTTAACGCTGCTCTCAGCAGTTTCCCAGGTATACTCTGACAAAAAAGAAACGCATAGGTGATATTGATACATGAAATTTCAAATATTTTTCCAAATAAGTGTTTGATTGTTATAATGTCGTCATTATAATGATGGTGTGTGTACATGGAACGACTGCACAGCGCGAAAACGCATCTTTGGGAACTTTAACGTACGTTTACGTTCGAAAGTGTCAACTAGCATTATGTCATGGAGAAAAAGGTAGTTCGCAATAACTGAGAATCCATTCGAAAAACGTAGATTTGATGTGGGAATCTTTGTGTGTCTTTTACTTCGGATATTGATTTTATGGAAGTGATCTTTATCCGCGAAAGGTACTCAACTTTTAAATGCCAAATCCTGAAATTCTGGATTACCTACTCTTTCTCACTTAGTTTTACCAAACGTTTCAAACAAGTTATATCAGTTCAAAATATCACCTTAAAACGATTGGTTAAAGCAGAAATGTTTCTAGACAGTCAATGATATGAGTTATTTGTGATACTGTAGTTTACAGACACCAGCCGTCCTTTGACATATGTATTTGAATATGTGGTTGAGGTGCACATTTACAATACCGTGCGGTGCTAAGAACACAATATCTATCATACTGAACGTTCACCCTGTGCTTGGACAGCACGTTGAGACAGGCGGCCAACATTATGTTCTGCCAGGGAAGGCTGTGTATCGATAGTGTTAAACAATGTTTACAGACACCAAGGCTTTAACAGATGGTAGAAGACGTCAGCAGATACATGCACACCGAAACATTGCATCTATTGTAATAAAGAAGTTGTGTATCCATAAAAAGTGTCCCTCTTCATAATACTAGGGGTAACCAAACGCAGGTTAGTCAACAGTATGGGGTCTGGCAGTCATGTATGTCCGAGTGAGTGGGTTTAGTTTGACGCCGCTTTTAGCAATATTCCAGCAATATCACGGCGGGGACACGAGAAATATACTTCACACATAGAACCCAGGTGGGCAATCGAACCCCGGTCTTCCGGGTGACGGGCTAACGCTTTAACCACTAGACTACCCTACCGCCCCCGTGTATGTCCGAACATGACAGATAAGCCAGATATTGATCTACACTCCCCACATATATTTTACAGGCACTTTTCATAACACCCTCACTGTCATTTCAAATATGGCCTTATATTTGTCGATAGTAGCAAAATAAAATTAAATTTAAATTTGATGTATTTGTCGGAGTTGGACACATGGAGTTTTAATGGAGAGAATTTAGTCCATATGTTATACATCGGGAAGCAATAGTCTTGACATTTAATATGTCAGTGGTCCCCAAATATCACCGTGAAGGAATTCTTGTGACAGTGTGGAATGTGCTAAATTGGTCTCACTAGTCCATGGGATGTTATTATCCGATATGGGGCATTAATTTATAATGATTCAGCTCATTTGAAATCCTGGGGACTTTGAACACATTAGCTGTCATCTATAAATGTCCTTCCTCTAAGAACCATTCAACGAGAATGTTTTACCATAATTTAGATTATGTGTATGGTTTTGACATTTTATAAAAATATGTCACTAGCCAATTCTTTCAAGTAGCCATTATGCCTTATCGGCCGTTTTCTAAAACTGACATCCATAAATGTACCTCTTCATGGTCATCACTTCTAAATGCCACCAATAATTTAAATTTTAAAAAACGTATATGGTTTTATAGTCATTATCGATCATGTCCCAATGCTGATATGATTTAGTGATCGTTTCATTCTCGCAGAACATCAATCAATATGGATCTGTTCTTGAGATAGTACTGTTACTATCATTTCGTGAAGCATATTCCGATGATATCTGTAGTGGTACCAAGACTCACCTCAACCTGAAGACGTACCAGGCCAAGCTGACCAAGGTTGACACGTACATCAACTGCATCAGCAACTGTCAAAGAGTCCTTCCATGCAGATCCTACACCTACAATACAACAAACAGACGATGCTCCTTGTTTGGTGGGAATGGTAAATCCTTCTCAGAGATGTGCCAAGAAAGAGGGTACACATTCCTGGAAGACAGCCTTTCCTGTGTGAAGATATACACACGTGGTTCCCCGTGGCTCAAGGCGAGGAGGAGTTGCAGGAATAAAGGAGCCGATCTTGTAACGGTTAAAGATGAGACGAAACATAGGGAGATCGCCAGCTTGATGAAGCAGTATCAAACAGGTGATGATGAGTGAGTGAGTGAGCTTAGTTTTACGCCGCACTCAGCAATATTCCAGCTATATGGCTGCGTTCTGTAAATAATCGAGTCGATGATGATGATGATGGTGGTGGTGGTGGTGGTGGTGGTGGTGGTGGTGCTGCTGCTGATTGATTGGTGATTGAAAACTGTCGACTCGAGATTGATTGATAAATGATTGACGACTGTAAATAGTCGAATCGATGATGATGATGATGATGATGGTGATGATGATGATGATGATGGTGATGATGATGATGATGATGGTGATGATGATGATGGTGGTGATGATGGTGATGATGATGGTGATGATGGTGGTGATGATGGTGATGATGATGGTGGTGGTGATGATGGTGGTGGTGGTGGTGATGATGGTGATGACGATGTGGTGGTGCTGCTGCTCATTGATTGGTGATTGAAAACTGTCGACTCGAGATCGATTGACAAATCATTGACGACTCAGACAGGTTGCTCAGACTAGATCCTCATGACTACAATTATATAAGAGACGGCGGAAGGAATGTATGAGAGTTGTATCTCCTAACACCAACTACCCCTACTGATGCCTTCTCCACTCACTCACTCACTCACTCACTCACTTTCTCGCACTTTGTCTGAATTTCACACAATGGCATCTTTGTTTTAGTTTGGATGGGGAACGTTTGACGTGTCTCAAATGTCATTAACTTTTGTTCTTGGAACATTTAAATCCAATGTGGCAACAACACAACAAACACAATTGCTACTTTGTGATAAAATATCCATGTCATCTTTATTGAGTGAATATTTGTTGAAATGTGTACATCCACATATTGTATATTCTAAGCATGTCTCAATCGTGCAGCAGTTTGGGTGGGGACATTATTGGGGGATGGGGTGTGCCTGGGGTGTCAAGAATGCGTTCCTGAAAAAGATTCTTAATCTGGGTCACATACATAGACTCACACCTGTATGTATGACAGTGTAGATAGGGCTCACACCCTGTGTGTATGACAGTGTAGATAGGGCTCACACCCTGTATGTATGACAGTGTAGATAGGGCTCACACCCTGTATGTATGACAGTGTAGATATAGCTCACACCCTGTATGTATGACAGTGTAGATAGGGCTCACACCCTGTATGTATGACAGTGTAGATAGGGCTCACACCCTGTATATATGACAGTGTAGATATAGCTCACGCCCTGTGTGTATGACAGTGTAGATAGGGCTCACACCCTGTGTGTATTTATGACAGTGTAGATAGGGCTCACACCTTGTATGTATGACAGTGTAGATAGGGCTCACACCCTGTATGTATGACAGTGTAGATAGGGCTCACGCCCTGTGTGTATGACAGTGTAGATAGGGCTCACACCCTGTGTGTATGACAGTGTAGGGCCTTGTTGATGTCCAATGTTTATAGAGTTCATGATCTTGTATGTTTAACAGTGTGGATAGGTCTCCATGATCAGCTCCACTCCAACACGTTCCTGTGGGTGGATGGTTCGCCGCTCGTCTACACAGCTTGGGAGCCTGGCCAACCGAGTCACTCCTTCAGGTGGAGACAGGAGAACTGCGTCCAGATCTCACACACTCAACAAAAGGAGCCTCTATGGAACGATGGTGGGTGCAAGTATTCTCGAAAGTTCATGTGTGAGATCAACTTGAGTGTCCTGAAGTAAGGACCTAGGCTAGAAGCGGGATGTAGTGTATCAAGTACACTCACTCACTGTGGAATATGTGTAACATCAACAGTGCAGATAAGGACAAACTTGATGAATGATCAGCATCTTTGTTCAGCGGATGCGACGTTTCGATACAGATATCTGACTCTCCAACTTCTAAGAATGCCACTCAAAGTGCATGTATGCATGGCAAAATAGACAGCCTTTCCGTTCTGCAACGGATCAAACAACAACTACTGTATGTTTCCATGTGAGTGCAGATATGTTCATAAGACGTGAAACCATACGGCAATAACGCCGAATCTGATGCCTGAAGAAAACAATGTTTACTCAGGAAAATGAAACATTTTGCTTTGAAGGTGAAATAAACTTTCTCTGAATGCTATCGTGACCAATGTGTACATATACAAAACGAGTAGAAAACAGAAATGACCACTGATTTGTCGAATTTAACATAAATATTCGAATCTTGCAATGACCAAAAAGTTTATTTTTGTACACATGCTACTAAGCATCTCATTCTGCAAATACAAGACACTAAGTCAACTTGTTTTAAGCATTTGTATTTCCAAAATACATTTCAAGTGGACTTGCAAAAAAGCAGCGAATTTAATTCACCTCCAGAACGCATATGATATTCCCACCTTCTCACTGTGTCGGTGTTGGTGGTGCCACTCTATCCCAGTTACTACTACAGTAATGATTTGCTGAGGGTGGAGGCATCCCAGTTGCTACTAGACAACCATCAAGAAGAAGAAGAAGAAGAAGAAGAAGAAGAAGAAAGAAAAAGGGTTTTATGATTGTGTCTCAGATTAGATATGATAAATGTATGAGATTAGCAAATTATTTATAAAAAGGGATATCCGGGGTTGCTGTCTGCCAGAGTCCTATTCCAGCATATACGTATCTGCTTAACACACATAGAGATTTGCATGGAACATCGTGATACAGAGATACAAGCCTGACTTGCCTCCCTCGGTGATAACACTGTGGTCACACCTTTACCAACCTGAGTATTCCGGATCTCCTGGTGACTTAAACATAGACTTTAACGGAGATGCACATGACTTTTCCTTCCGATATAAGTACCGAGTCTCTATACATACATCCCCTTTTGAATTCACAGCTACAGAGTTATTATAGAAGCACACGAGGTTATTTTTAAATCCAGTATATAGTGATAAAAGTTGATATAGTGAAGGTCCGCCCGTGTTCTCATTTGCGTTTGATCACAATGGCATTTGTGATAATATCAATATGCTAAAATGAAAGATTGATGAAGATCCAAAACACGTTCAGATCGCTACCTTACCTCTTAGCCCGGTTTACAGACCTGTATGGATTCGAATTCCCTTCCATTTCCCTTATAGGTACAATGTGTGAAGCCCATTTCTGGTGTCCCCCGCCGTGATATTGCTGGAATATTGCTAAAAGCGGCGTAAAACCAAACTCACTGACTCACTTTCAGGTCACATGGTGTATTCTACCAAAGCTGTTTATGAGGCGCCAGAAGGTTAACATTGACTCATTTACCAACGTGTCTCAACTCCACCGGATGTGTTGCACGTGTGGTCTACGCTGACCACTTGCCACGTCGGTGTACAACATCGGCAGCGGTGATCTGCAAGATGTCCTGGGCAGCCTGTGCACGTGGGAGATTTAAAGGGCATTTCAGTCACTGTGGAGTATGTGATATGGGGTTATTTCCTCACTGAATGAATCACACCCAGTGCATGCATGTTTCACAGGGTGGAAGCGCTGTCCACGCGAAATGTGGAGTTGCCCAAAAATCAACTCCATTTCCTCGCTGGACAGTGAAAGAAGAACATGGGGCGCAAGAATAATGGTCGTTTTCTCTCGCATTTTCATTATTTTGCAAGTATATCAGGTTTTGACATTTGGCAGAAGGATCTAGAAAGTTACAGATCTGTCTGTAATTGCTTGACACCCTCTCTATTTATTGCAATTGCGCGTTAAGCGAGGGCACCCTCCTGGGTATCGAAACAAGATCGCGGAATATGATCGTTTCAACAGGAAATATGACATCCTCATCAGCAGACACACATTTGTTTTGCTGTCAATTCTTAGATATAGTTATTTTAGGTCTTTATTCAGAGTTTAGGCTTTAATGCGTCAGTACTTTTTCAATAATCGTCGAAAAATCAATCTGTACATTTTATAAAGAGTTGTTCACATTTAGCAAACAAACTGTCCATTGTGTTGTGATTTTACTGTCCAGGAGTTGACAGTTTATAGTTTTAACCGTCAGGTCATCAAACGTTATTTTAGTGATATTTGTTGTGAAGAAGAATGTTTTGTTACTGCCTACCTGGTGTATTTATTACGATTTTTCATCTTCAAGTACGATTGTACACACTCATTGCAGTTTGTACCTTGTCTGGGATTTATTGGATGCAAACCTATTAAAACACACATTCATTTGTTTTAAAAAAACATGCATTCGTTTCACTTCAGCTTTACTTGCCAGCGTAAACACAGATCGGCAAGTTCATGTTCTCATTAAATTGTGTCATTTGGATTTCTCCTGTATTTTCTTTACAACCGCGATTGACTTGTCCATATCGCTGTTGGTGCCACCGGTGGGAACAAAGGAAGTCATTAATGTATTTGATTTCGCACATTCAACATTGGTTAGATGTCCCTTGGTTTTCAGATGCTTAGTGATGTGCTGTACCCGAATGTGCAATGCTAATATCGGAATGATAGTATGAACAATGTAATACTTTGTAATAAGTCTCCGCTTTCATAACAGGGACCTGTTGATCAGGATTTGGTACCCGGGTCAAGAAAATCTTCCTTACTGTCCAGAAATACCCCATACACATGCAATAATTATTCAAAACATATATAATGTTAAAAAAACAAATTTACAAATCCAGCTTAAAACAAGGAGTAAAAATATGTGTTGTTATCAATCAATGATATATAATCAAATTTATGTCAAATTGGAATATTTTGTTCGCATTGTACACGGGCATCTCTAGATCGAATTCAAACTAAATTTAAATATCACTGTCAATCGAATCAAGGTATTGAATGAGATGTGTAAAAGAGCCATTCACAGGCGCAGGAGCTTGTACATATAACGCTAAAAACTGCCATCCAGTTATATATAGATAGATCTATAGCTGTCACTGACGGGGTCTCTTTAGAGTAGCGTTACAAGCCCCTGTGTTCACAGGCTCGTTGTGATGTAATATTTGCGTCCGTATATATAATCCGAAGAGGCTGACAAGTGTTTATTATTGTCCTAAGTAGATCAATATCAGATTCATGCCTTTTAACCGTGACTGTACGTTTCCCCGCAGTCATATGACCCTCTTCAAAACCACGTGACACGCCGGCGTCAATTTCATACAATGATTTCTCCCTACAGGGATCAGTCATTAAAGTTGTTGACAGTCGTAAAGAATGGCGATACCTGACAGGTGGCGTAAATATCTTGTGATAGTGGGTGGGGTGCTGGTGCATCTCACTCTCGGAACAGTTTATACGTTCGGTAAGATTTGTATTGACTTTTATGATATCCGATCTGAAGTGTGCTTGTCACTTGCCAGATGTCCACCTGTTGTTGATATGACTCCAGAGTAGTGGGTCGGTCAACAGATTTTTTCTGATCACATATGTTTCACCGACTGACATTTCGTATGTCACTATGCAGTCAATATATGAAGCAGATGCAGGCGTCGAAATGATATCATGTTTTACCGAAGGGCTCTGATTAAAGTATTTCTTATGTTGAGAAATCAAGTCCCATATTGATTAGGCCTAGATGTAGTCCAGCATATAACTAGACGTCTTTGCACCAAGGTGTGTAGGCCTTGGCTGGAATACGAGTTTATTTATATGAAGCATAAAGGCTAAACACGCAACGCATCCTTCTTCCGTGGAATAAATTGTTCAGTATTTTGTTTGGATAATGCCTAGCATTGCCTACAGCTATAAAAGTTAAAACTATTATGCATGCATCCACCATAAACATAGATCTACCTAGAAAAAAATGAAAATATATTCAGTGAATAAAGATCAAAATAATACATTTGCCTAAAGTTCTAAAACTGTTTCAGACTATTGAGCAAATTGATATTTTAGATGATATCAGTATGTTTGTATTAATTGAATGATGTGGACATTTTTATTTTTTTTAAATTTTGAGGGCCATCATGCATGAAATGAGCAAACCATTTGTATAAAGAATTCTTTTATTAACACAAATTATTTCCAAAAAGTTTTGGGAGAAATTGTTTCAAGGGAGCAGATCTATACAATGTATAATATCGTTGATGTAGGTGGCAAATGTATTTAATCATATGAGAAATCCAATGCATAAATTAGATAATCTTCATTAAGTAGTGTACATATGGTAGATCAACCCTGTTATAGTCAGCTAATAGGATAAGCAGGTTGTAAATGGGCAGCAATGTATTGAATGGTGCATTTGATTAGCTGAAGCATAATGTCTGAACAATTAATGTTATTTCCCGTATATGTCAGTGATCCATATGTCTGTGGTGTCCTTGCCGCATGTGTGGCCAGCCAGCCAGATGTTGCAGGATTCAGTGTGTGTACATGATCGGTACAATCACTGCTTGTCTGGTTGTATCTCCAGCTTGCACTCTGGAAAGAACCATATAGCCCTGCTTAATCCAATCAGTATTTAGTGAATGTTTGCCTACTAATTTTATTTTGCAACTTTCACAGTACCTATAAAAGAAATATCACCCATGAAAATAATCTTCTCTAAAATATTATTAGGTGATTAGTTATCACAATTAATTTACTCAAATAAATGTCCTGGTATGTATTTTTTCATTCATTCTTTCAGCCATGCTTAAGCCCAAGAGGCTCGATGTTTATAATTGTACATGCTGCAGCAACTTTCTATTGATGTAATCTTGAATGTACTGAAATATATGTACCAGAATATCAAGTAGTCACAGAAGGCTTCACCGTAAAATAACCAGCTTCTCTGTACAATAACCAGCTTCACCATACAATAGCCAGGATCACCATATCATAACCAGCTTCACCGTACAATAAACAGATTCACCGTACAATAACCAGGTTCACATTACAATAAACAGCTTCACCATACAATAAATTAACCAGCTTCACTGTACAATAAGCAGCTTCACCATACAAGAACCAGCTTCACTGTACAATAACTAGCTTCACTGTAAAATAACCAGCTTCACTGTACAATAACTAGCTTCACTGTACAATAACTAGCTTCACTGTACAATAACTGTACAATAACTAGCTTCACTGTACAATAACCAGCTTCACTGTACAATAACTAGCTTCACCAGATCTGACGCTGCTCCCCATGATGCAACATACAAAATGTGGTTTTAGTTTTAATATGAAATATTGCCTTGCAATGAGTTTTCCATAAACAGTTGTAAAGAGTTAACTGCCTGTACCCCTAGCCTCTAGCCTGAGTTCAGTAACATGTCTTTGGTCAAATACACTTGGCTAATACAAGACAATACATAAACGCTATGTCAGTAATATCTACTGAAAATGATTTCTAGTAGACATTGGGGTGCTGAGGTAGCCTTGTGTTTGAAATGTTCACTTCTCACGCCAAAGTCCTGGGTTCGATTCCCCACATTTGTACAATGGCTGAAGTCCACTGCTGGTGTCCCAAGATGTGGCATTGCAGGAATACTGCTAAAAGTGGCGTTAAACTAAACTCACTCACTCATACTCCCTCAAGTAGACACCGGGTTAGAATGAACCTTCAGTAACCCATGCTTGTCGTAAGAGGAGACTAACGGGATCGGGTGGTCAGACACCCTGGCTTGGTTGACCATGTCATCGGATCGATGCTCATGCTGTTGATCACTGGATTGTCTGGTCCAGATTCTATTATTTACAGACCGCCGGTATATAGCTGGAATATTGGTGAGTGTGGTGTAAAACTAAACTCCCTGCTACACTGACAAGGTAAGGATGTCATCTGTGTGATGACTCTACGCCCTGCTACACTGACAAGGTAAGGATGTCATCTGTGTGATGACTCCACACCCTGCTACACTGACTAGGTAAGGATATCATCTGTGTGATGACTCCACCCCCTGCTACACTGACTAGGTTAGGATATCATCTGTGTGATGACTCCACGCCCTGCTACACTGCCAAGGTAAGTATGTCATCTGTGTGATGACTCCACGCCCTGCTACACTGACTAGGTAAGGATATCATCTGTGTGATGACTCCACGCCCTGCTACACTGACTAGGTTAGAATATCATCTGTGTGATGACTCCACGCCCTGCTACACTGCCAAGGTAAGTATGTCATCTGTGTGATGACTCCACGCCCTGCTACACTGCCAAGGTAAGGATATCATCTGTGTGATGACTCCACGCCCTGCTACACTGCCAAGGTAAGGATGTCATCTGTGTGATGACTCCACGCCCTGCTACACTGACTAGGTAAGGATGTCATCTGTGTGATGACTCCACGCCCTGCTACACTGACAAGGTAAGGATGTCATCTGTGGGATTATTGCACGCCCTGCTACACTGACTAGGTAAGGATGTCATCTGTGTGATGACGCCACGGCCTGCTACACTGACTAGGTTAGGATATCATCTGTGTGATGACTCCACGCCCTGCTACACTGCCAAGGTAAGGATGTCATCTGTGTGATGACTCCACTCCACGCTGCCAAGGTAAGGATATCATCTGTGTGATGACTCCATGCCCTGCTACAAGGTAAGGATGTCATCTGTGTGATGACTCCACACCCTGCTACACTGACTAGGTAAGGATGTCATCTGTGTGATGACTCCACGCCCTGCTACACTGACAAGGTATGGATGTCATCTGTGTGATGTCTCCATGCCCTGCTACACTGCCAAGGTAAGGATGTCATCTGTGTGATGACTCCACGCCCTGCTACACTGACATGGTAAGGATGTCATCTGTGTGATGGCTCCACACCCTGACACACTGACATGGTAAGGATGTCATCTGTGTGATGACTCCAGGTCCTGCTACACTGACAAGGTATGGATATCATCTGTGTGATGACTCCACGCCCTGCTACACTGCCAAGGTAAGGATGTCATCTGTGTGATGACTCCACGCCCTGCTACGCTGCCAAGGTAAGGATATCATCTGTGTGATGACTCCACGCCCTGCTACACTGCCAAGGTAAGGATGTCATCTGTGTGATGACTCCACACCCTGCTACACTGACTAGGTAAGGATGTCATCTGTGTGATGACTCCACGCCCTGCTACACTGACAAGGTATGGATGTCATCTGTGTGATGTCTCCATGCCCTGCTACACTGCCAAGGTAAGGATGTCATCTGTGTGATGACTCCACGCCCTGCTACACTGACATGGTAAGGATGTCATCTGTGTGATGGCTCCACACCCTGACACACTGACATGGTAAGGATGTCATCTGTGTGATGACTCCAGGTCCTGCTACACTGACAAGGTATGGATATCATCTGTGTGATGACTCCACGTCCTGCTACACTGACATGGTAAGGATGTCATCTGTGTGATGACTCCACACCCTGCTACACTGACATGGTAAGGATGTCATCTGTGTGATGGCTCCACACCCTGACACACTGACATGGTAAGGATGTCATCTGTGGGATGACTCCACGACCCCCCTGACACTGACATGGTAAGGATGTCATCTGTGTGATGACTCCACCCTGCTACACTGACATGGTAAGGATGTCATCTGTGTGATGGCTCCACACCCTGACACACTGACATGGTAAGGATGTCATCTGTGTGTTGACTCCACACCCTGCTACACTGACATGGTAAGGATGTCATCTGTGTGATGGCTCCACACCCTGACACACTGACATGGTAAGGATGTCATCTGTGGGATGACTCCACACCCTGACACACTGACATGGTAAGGATGTCATCTGTGTGATGACTCCACGCCCTGCTACACTGACATGGTAAGGATGTCATCTGTGTGATGGCTCCACACCCTGACACACTGACATGGTAAGGATGTCATCTGTGTGATGACTCCACACCCTGACACACTGACATGGTAAGGATGTCATCTGTGTGATGACTCCACGCCCTGCTACACTGACATGGTAAGGATGTCATCTGTGTGATGGCTCCACACCCTGACACACTGACATGGTAAGGATGTCATCTGTGTGATGACTCCACGTCCTGCTACACTGACATGGTAAGGATGTCATCTGTGTGATGACTCCACGCCCTGCTACACTGACATGGTAAGGATGTCATCTGTGTGATGGCTCCACACCCTGACACACTGACATGGTAAGGATGTCATCTGTGGGATGACTCCACGTCCTGCTACACTGACATGGTAAGGATGTCATCTGTGTGATGGCTCCACACCCTGACACACTGACATGGTAAGGATGTCATCTGTGTGATGACTCCACGCCCTGCTCCACTGACAAGGTAAGGATATCATCTGTGTGATGACTCCACGCCCTGCTACACTGACATGGTAAGGATGTCAT